GCTCAGCGGTTTGGCGCCTACCTTCGGCCCATGGCATAATCCTGGAGACCTGGGATCAAGTCCCACATCGGGCTCCCTGCAGGGAGCCTGCTTCTCCCTCTGCCTGTGTCTCTGCCTCTCTTTCTCTCTCTCTCCATACCTTTCAGGAATAAATGAATAAAAATCTTTTTAAAAATTTTTTAAAAACCTGTATCAAACTATTAGCAGAGGAGACCATCCTTAACCTAATAAAAGGAATCTACCAAAAATAATAACAAACTTCATATTTAAGGCTCTAAAAGTATTGCCTTTCAAGTTTAAAACAATATTAGCACAGCCTTATCAAAATTCCTATGCAACTTTGGTTAGTCTCCAAATGATGGAAATAAGACAAAAAAAAATAAAAGACTTAAAGGTTAGGAAGGAAGAAATGAAATTATCATTATTTACATGAAAAAATCAGAAACGGATCCACACATTTGTAAAATGTTGTGTTTTGAAAGCAGCACTGCATATCATTGGGGTAAATATGGTATTCAATAAATAGTACTGATACAACTGGTTATGCATTTGGAAAAGTTCTAAAATTATATCTCTGCCTCACACCTCACATAAAAATAAGTTCAAAGTAGAATATTAAAAAAGCAAATATTCAATTTTTTAAAGACGAGGATATCCTATGACCTTGGGGTAACAGAATTTCTTAAATAAGACTCAATAACTACAAGCCATAAGAAAAAGATTGATAAATTTGTCTTAAAATTAAACATCTGTTCATCAAAACAGCATTTTTAAAAGGATTTAAAAAAAAAACAGGGCACAAACAGAATCCAAAATATACACACAGGATCTCTAAAAAGCTATAAAAAGGACAACCCACGTAACAAATGGACAAACAATATATGAATATAATTTATACAAAGAGGAAACCCGAGTGGCCACTAAATGGATAAAAAGTCCTCACCCTTACTAAAAATCAAGAAAATGCAAATTAAAACAATGAGATATTGCATACTTAGCTGAATAATAACAATTAAAACATCTGAAGATACAAGGGACTAGAGAGGCTGTGAAGAAACAAACCTTTGGAAACTACTTTGACAACAGCTCAGAGGCTAGAACTGGCCATCCTCCGAACCCCCCAATCCCACGGAGTGCCCAGCACAGAGGGAAGGTGGGCCAGCTGGAAGCGGCAGTTAGCAAGGGTAGAGACTGAACAAACTGCTAGGAGAAGACCTCAGGTGGGACTTAGGCCAGGTGGGAGTATCAGATGCCAGTCTTGCCGGGAGATGAAACTAAGAATCAGAACCATGCTCACCTGGGGCAACCTCCCAACAGCAGCTAAATCATTTTGTGTTCTCCTGCCTATCTGACCACATTATTTCCTCTTTAAACTATTCCAGCTAAGCTTCCGGAAATTATTTTCCAGTTCTGGAGGTCAGACGTAAGGTCTCACTGGGTAGGGCTGTGTGTTCCCTTCAAGGAAGGGCTCTGCGTGAGAACCCATTTTCTCACCTTTTCCTGCTTCTGGAGCCCTCCGACACTCCTTGGCTTATAACCCCTTCCATCTACTAAGCCAACAACGGCGGCGGGTACGCTTCCTGATTTCACATCACTCTGACACCAGCTCTTCCGCGTCCCTCTTCCATATTTAAGGACGCTTACTTTGGACTTAACTGGGTAATCCAGAATAATCTCCTTGTTTTAAAATCAGCTTTAAAATTAGCAACTGTCATTCCATCTACTACTTAAATTGTCTCTGCCATGTAACATACCATGTTCATAGGTTCCGGAGATTAGGATGTAGACAGCTCTGGGAGGCCACTACTCTGCCTGCCACACCACCTCCAGTCCACTCTCCCCCACACCTCTGAGTTCCAGTGCTTTCACAATACCCTCCGCACCTTCACCATCACACACGCTGTTCGCCAGCTACACCAGCCTTCTGGTGTTTCTGTAATCAATTTTATACCCATCCAATGCCCAAACAATGACCATTCACTCTTCAGGTCTCAGCCCGAGGCCACCTCCTCTCCTCTATGAAGCCGTCCTGATTCCCAGTCTAAATGAATTACCCCACCTCAACACACCAACCCAACTTTCCGTGAACCCTAACTGCAGCACTGAGTGACCCCCTGGAACCCTCAGTGTACATGTTCCTCCATCAGGCCAAAGTGGGGTCCTTCCATGATAAATACTGTATCTCCTTCCCCCGTGGGCTTTCAGAACACAGCACAGGGCCAGGCAAAGGTGGGCCCTCAGAGGGTGTTTCTGAAGCTTGAAGGAGCAGAAAGAAGCTGCCCTGGGTTTTCCTCAATAAAACAGGTTACTCTTTTGCAGAGTAACCCAAGTTAAGTGTGCAGCTGATGAGGCCAAAGAACTAGTTCAGACACTTGGAACAAAAACACCTTAACAATCCACTGCTTAGTTAGACGCACAATTTACTATTATATAGAAGAATCTCTGTACCTGCTATTTCTTATTGCCAGCCTATGGGGCAATTTTAAAGAAGCAGACAAAATTAACCTTAAGAGAATAAAGAATTTATCTAAAATGATTTACAGGAGGGCAGCCCCAGTGGTGCAGCGGTTTAGCGCCGCCTGCGGCCCGGGGTTTGATCCTGGGGACCCTGGATTGAGTCACCCGTCGTCGGGCTCCCTGCGTGGAGCCTGCTTCTCCCTCTGCCTGTGCCTCTGCCTCTCTCTCTCTGTGTCTCTATGAATAAATAAATAAAATCTTTAAAAAAATTAAAAAAATGATTTACAGGCGATGTCCTCAGAATTATGGAAGAGAGAGTAGATGCTGCTCTAACACAGCAGGAACTGGCAACTGCCCAACAGCCCCACCACGTCCACCGAGGGCTCCAGTCCCTCTCTGGGAAGGCTGGAAAGCATCACATGAGCGTGAGGGGTGATACAGCTGGCCCTGTTTAGGGAAAAAACAAATTGCCTCTACGTACAAACACATGCGCATATTACAATAATGGGTACATTTTCAAGAGGGTATTGTTGGGCAGCCCGGGGGGCTCAGCGGTTTAGCGCCGCCTTCAGCCCAGAGCGTGATCCTGAGGTCCCGGGATCCAGGCCCACGTCGGGCTCCCTGCATGGAGCCTGCTTCTCCCTCTGCCTGTGTCTCTGCCTCACTCTCTCTCTCTCTCTCTGTGTGTGTCTCATGAATAAATAAATAAAATCTTAAAAATAATAATAATAAAGTTAAAAAAATAAGAGGGTGTTGTTAAGGAAACCGGATCTCATTTAATTTCACTGATCTGTTACTTGATGTCTATCCTCCAGCAAGAAAATGCCCACACGCTCAGAAGGAGACTAAGTAGGAAAGGGACGTTGAGTCGGCACAATTACCCCTTTGGGGCGGGGGGGGGGGAGACAGACAACAACAACACGGCTTGAGTTTTTAAAGAGGTTCCATTCGGGCTCAAAAGAACTTCCCTGCTCAACTGTCCAACTTTTCTTTAATTGTGTAAATTCTGAAAGTGATTTTATTTTATTTCATTTCATTATTTCATTTTATTATTTCATTTCATTTCATTTCATTTCTGAAAGTGATTTTAAAACCTCCTCCGAGACACCCTCTCAGGCTGGAAAGGAAGCTGAAGACCCAGAACCAGAGGGCGTGTGTTCAGCACCATGGACAGTGGACGCTCTCCGGCCCGAGGAGTCCCCGGGGCCGCCCCCAAGTCTACAGTTCTCATCGTAATGCTCAAGGTGGGGCTGATTCCAACGCTTTAGCAGGTACCTGTCTTTGTTATGACCCAAAGGACCAGCTCAGCACAGGGATGTACTATCCCATCCACCGCGATCTGCTTCAGTGCTCACTTTTACCATAAAGCCCTGAGGTTTCTGTGAAAATAGGCATGAATGAAAACAGGAATGACTCTGCCGCGGACACAAGGTAACCAGTCCAGGAACCGGCTGGGCGGCCACGAATGAAACTGTTGAAACTGAAACACAACACCCAGCCCTGAATGGCTACATTGTTTCCAGCACCTTAGAACGCAGGATGCTCCCGGCCTCCCTCCAACAACCGGGAGAAAGACGACTTCCTTTTTTAGACGCCAGGCGAAACGAATGCATGGGCTGGAATTTTTTCAGAATTACCTAAAAAGTGTCACAACAAGGTCCTGTATTTCCTCCAACCCTGGGCGTTAACAAAGATCCCTGGAGGGTGGGGGGATACCTCGAGGTCCCGTCTCGCCGCTGACCGGCACTACGTAGGGCAACACCGGCCCCCGAGCCCTGGATTCTGAGCACCATGGAAGGACACCTTCCCTTCTTTGACCACCAAAGCTTTTTCAAAACCCTATAAATATTGAGCATCAGCTAAACTAGGGGAAAAAAAAAAAAAAACATGAAGCCTAAGTTCTAAAACGCTAGCAGGGAACTTGCGCGGTACAGCGAGGAGCGTGCACGTACGAGTGAGACCGGGTCTCACGACCCGCGCGCCCCACCGCACCGGGGGTCAGCAGATGCACCTGCCCCCGAGACCCCCCCCCAAGTCTGAAATCAGCACAGCTGCCCCCGGCGCCCCTGACCTGAAGGTCAGCAGGTCCCCCCGGCTCGTGTGCACCATCCCCCGAGGTGCAGACAGCCTCCTGGGCCAAAACGGGCGTCTCCGGGGCGCCCCGGGGACGATGCAAGTCGGGGCGCCCGGGGGCGCTGGGGGTCGCCGCCCACCGCTGAACGCGGGGTCCTGCGGGGGGGGGCGGGGGTCTCCGGGCTCTGAGTCCCGAGGCGCGAGGTCCCCGCTGCCCGGGGCAGGTCACCTGGGGCGCGGCCCCCCGCAGGTGCACCAGCGACACACTCCGGGGCGGGCGGAGCGCACGTGCACCGAGGGGTCGGCCAGCAGCGCAGCGCGGAGCCGGCAGGTGTCCGCCCACCTGCACGCCCCAGCCCACCCCCGGCCCCGCCCCCCGCCCCGGCCCCTGACCCCGCACGACCCCAGGACCCGGGCCAGAGCCCCCCGCCCCCGCCCCGCCCCGCCCCGCCCCGCCCGCGGCCACTCACCTGTCGGCGGAGGAGGGCGTGCCCGCCGCTGACCCGGCCGGAGCCCGGGGTGCGGCCGCGGGGGGAAGGCGGGTGACGACGGGGCGACCGAGGCGGCGACGGAGCCCGAGGCCACCGAGTCCGAGACGCCGGAGGCGGCGGCAGCTGCTCCTCGCGCTCCAGCCGAGGCGCTGCGCGCGGCGCGGGCCCGCCCCCTCTGCGCCGCCGACCAATCCCGCGCCTCCCGCCGCCGCGGCCCCGCCCCCCGCCCCCCGCCCCAGAGCTGCGCCTCGCGAAAGCGGGCGCGGCGGGCCAATCCAACGCAGGAACGGCGACGGCGGAGGCCAATCGGAGCCCCGGACGCTCTCAGGAAGGAGACCAATTAGCGTCACGGGGCGGGGGCGGGGCGGTGAGGTGGGACCAATGACGATGGGGCGTGGCGGAAAGCAGGGCGGGGTCTTGGGCGTGGGAGGCACCGGCCGGGGCGGGGCCAGGCTTGAGGCGGCTCCCGGGGTGAGGCGGGGCCACAGGCGGAGGGGGCGGGGTCTCGGCGGGGCAGGGGCGGGGCAGGGGCGGGGAGAGGGGGTGGGACCACAGGGGGGCCGGGCAAGAGGCGGGCTGGCAGCCGGGGGCGGGGCCTAGGGCGGGTCCCGGCGGCTGATGGAGGCGAGGCATGGCCCGGGGAAGGGCGGGGCCCTGGAGCGGCGGGGGCGGGGCAGAGGCGGGGCCTGAGCGGCGGGGGCGGGGCCTGGAAGCGGGGGCGGGGCCTGGGCGGGCTCCGGCGGCTGATGGAGGCGAGGTAGGGCCCGGGGAAGGGCGGGGCATGAGCGGCGGGGGCGGGGCCTGGGAGCGGGGGCGGGGCCTAGGGCGGGCCCCGGCGGCTGATGGAGACTAGGCAGGGCCCGGGGAAGGGCGGGGCCCTCAGCGGCGGGGGCGGGGCCTGGGGGCTTGGGGGCGGGGCCTGGGAGGCGGGGCGGGGCCTGGGCGGGCCCCGGCGGCTGATGGAGGCGAGGTAGGGCCCGGGGAAGGGCGGTGCATGAGCGGCGGGGGCGGGGCCTGGGGGCTTGGGGGCGGGGCCTGGGAGGCGGGGGCGGGGCCACAGGGGAGGGCGGGTCCCTGTAGGGAAGGGGGTGGGGCGCTGTGCAGGGCGTGTCTCAAGGTTAGAGGTAGGAGTGGGGCGGAGGGTGGGAAGGGCGGGGAGGCGGGAAGAGGAGGGATGGGGGGGACGGGAGGGGTGGGGGGTGCAGGGGCGGGTCCCTGGAGGGAAAGGGGTGGGGCGCTGTGCCGGGCGCGTCTCAGGGCCAGGAGTGGGGGGCGGGGGAGGGGAGGTGGGGGGAACCTTGCTGTGAGCTTGGCCTGTGGCGGGGACGGGTCACTGGAGGGGAGTGTGCCCTGGTTGGTCTCGGGCGTGGGACCGGCCGGTGGACCTGGACCCTCCCGGGCCGGCGCCCGCCCCCTCCTCTCCCGGGGTCTTGGAGGCGCGGCCGAGCCCGGCCTGCGGGGCCTGGTCCCGAGACCCCGCCCCGGGAGAGCCCGCCCAGCGCCCGCCCCGCCCCGCCCCGCCCCGCCCCGGGCGCCCCCCCTTCCCGCCCCCGCCGCGCAATCCACCTGCACCTGAGAGTCTGTGTGGGTCCGGACGCCCCGGGACGCGGCTGTGCTCCTGCATCACGTTCGCAGGTGCTGGGGTCCACACACCTGCCGGCAGGTGACCCAAGGGAGGTGACTGCTAGGCCGTCCTCGCGTGTTTAATTACCCCTCCTTCCACACCTCTTGGTATTAGTCATTTTTGTGGCGTGAGCCCTGTGTGTCATCTGTGCATTGGGGCCTATTCTTAGGAAGGATTATTTCTTCCAGGGCAGCATCGCACAGCACGAGCCAGGTCAGACACCGCAGCCACACCTCCGAGGGCAGTGGGGCCTGCAGGGGTCCCGGGACTCCCTACCCCGCACCCCTCCGGGTGCCCCGGGAGGGAACTAAGCCTCGCTGGGCCTCCTTAGGCCTGGGAGCAGCTGGCTGCCGGGGCAGGGACTGCGGGACCAGCGCGGGGCAAGGTTCTGACTCTTGGCGCCCCTATCGGTACCTTTTGCCCTTAGACCAGCCAGGAGGCATTTCCCAGGCTTCTCCCCTGTGAGCTCTACTCCTTCATGGGCCACTGGCAGCCTCCTCGCTCAAAGGTCACCGTGATGACTGTTTTGTAGGAGCCTCACTCCAGCACACAGAGGACCCCTGAGGTATTCAGGGACAGACGAGGCTGGGTGACACACAGACACAGGACAGAAGTCAGTGTGCAGGCATGGGGGGTGGGTCAGTAAGAGCTGTCTCATTTGTCTTCACGTGTCCCTTGTGTATTCAAAGACAACCTTTGAAAAACAAAGGGCCCCCATCCTCCGGGTAAGAAGGGACTGTGGGTGCATCCACCCCGGAGCTGCTGGGGAAAGCGGGAATACAAACATCTGGGTCATGAGTCCTTCCAAAGAAGGGGTCACAGAGGCAGGGGCCACCCCAGCAGTGTGGCCAGCAATGGCCACTTCGAGCAGAGAGACATGCTTAACCGTGCGCTCTGGGAGGACGGCTCTGGGGGTAGGAAGGAGGCTGCAGAAAAGGAGGACATGGTGGCCCTGGCTGGGTCTCCCAGTCGGTCGGGAGGGGAGCACAGTGCTGGGAAGTGAGCAGGAAGGAACAGTGGACCCGGAGCCCAGGGTTGCAAGGATTTGTCACGTCCTGACTACGTGGCTCTGGCTGCCACCCTCACCTTGACTCTCTGGGCAGAGAGGATGGAAGGACCATGAGGCTTCCGCTCCTGAGGCCGGGGGTGGGGGGGCGCCCACGGGCAGAGTACCTTCAGTCCACCCCCTAGATTACAGGCTGCCAGCTTCCCACTTCCCCATCCTCTCCAGGGGCCCTCGTCCCCTCAGCTGCCTTCATTGCCTCCTGAAAGACACAGTTAGTCATTAGGAAATTAATGATAGTGTTTTCGGGACAGCATGTTGGACCCTAACAACTTTCAATTATTTCCAGTTCCTGCCAGCCCTGGGAGGAAAAAAGCAGCTCATCTCATGCCTCCGCCCTTGACACACGAGACAATCCACGTCTGCCGGAGTATTATCATATGTTAGCAGATCTCTGAAAGCCAAACTGCAGACCACAGCAGCTGGGCCGGGGCCTGGAGCAGGCCTGGGCTCCGCCCCCTAAGCAGGACCAGCCTGCCGCGAATTCCCCACACACTGTGCTCCACGCACTTCCCCCTTCATTAGCACCGTGTGTGCTGTTCGCCACCCTCTCAATCGCTGTCACTGCGGTCCTTCCCGTGAGAAGTGCACCCAGGGGCCCGCATTTATAAATAACTCCATGGTGTCTTGTGGGGATGCAGGGAGCAGGGAGAGAAGGAGGCTTGTAATTATCATCTGCTTGGAATGATGTCAGATCAAGCCCTGGGAAGCCTCCTAGTGCCCGGCCTTCCTGATTGTCACACACATCCCCGCCACCAGGGAGTCTGGGGCATGGAGGGTGGGGGCAAGGAGCCTTCTCGGTTCCATATTAGATGGCTAAAAGGGCCGGGAAAATAGCTGCGCAGGAAGCAGTCCCAGTGGCCAACGGTGTCCAAGTCTTCCGGGTGGTGCAGGTTCCCGGGCGTGATCGCAAGTGGCACCCAGCACCCAGCTACAGAGGCCCCCTCCCCTGCTACGGAGAGGGGTCTGGAGCCATCGACCTGGGCCTGGTTGGAGTGCGGGGCGTCTGCCGGCCTCTGCATTGGGCCTGTTTTCCGCAGGGAGAGCTCACATTGGCCTCTCAGCCACCCCTTGAGCTCACACTAAAGCACAACGACACAGTTTACCTGGTCGCAAGTCGAGAGCCTAGGGGACGAGTGTTGCTGCTAAAGCCCCGTTCACAAAATGCTGAGGCAGGACCATGCCGTCAGCGCCTAGGCACAAAGTGCGGCCCTGGGGGCGGCAGGGCTGGGTCTGCTGAGCTCAGAGGAGATTCTGTGAGGCCAGCGTGATGGGGCGCGAATCGGGAAGCCGGTAGACCAGGCCCACGCCAGCTGCCCTGGTCGGGGAACGCGCCCAACGCTGCCCACTAGGCTCCTCCGCTGTGACGCAGGAATCCAAGCTGTGCACCTGGCCTTTCTTACCTGGTTGCTGAAGCCTCTGATGGCTCTTTCATCAGGTGAGGCGATCAAGGGGGCTCCTCTTGTGCCCCCCTGCCGGAGGAGCAGCTCCTAAGCAGTCATTGGCCATGTCCCCGGCCCGCGACTGGGCGGGCGTGGGAGGAGGTGAAGTCGCACCTGCGCAGAGGCAAGCTGCACCAACCAGGCTGCTGAGGTGCCCGCGCCTGGATGATGGTGAAGGCTGGAAACGTGCTCCAGGAGGAGAGCGGAGCATGCACGGAGCATCCAACACAGACGTGCAGGAAGAAGGGGGGAAAGAAGCAGGCACATGAACGGTGCTGCAACCCGCCGGGACTCGCAGACGTTCTCTCCTCTGGGGCTGGCAGACTGACCCACCGTCTACAGCGGCCCTGCATCCCAAGGTTCTCCCGGACCCACATGCTGCCCTGCATCTGCATTCCCGTGAGACTGGGTCACCGTCCAGCCAGGCATGCCCCGACAACGGCCAGCAGACTGCTCTGTGGGTATGAGGGGCTGGGAGACAGCAAAAGCTGTCCTTACGGTGGGCACCGAAAGTTATCCCCATGCTGGGAAGTCGGCTCAAACCACGCGTGGAAGCCATGGCTCTGACCCAAAGGATAAACATGTGGGGGTGAGCAGAAGTCCTGCCGGCACCTGCCAGGACCCCAGCTTGCCTGGTGGGGCTCCCTGCTTTTAGCCTGTAACAAGCATGGTTGTCGTCCCCGGTCTGGTCGTGGAGGGGGGCCTGGGGTTTGTCCAGTGTTGTCATCATCCCCAGGGGACTGGAGTCAGCGGCCTCCGTCCTCTAGGCCCTTCACACGAAAAAGCAAGTGAGTCACAGCTGCCCTTGACTGCATGTCCCGATTCAGACAGCAGGCTCTGGAGCCGATGCGCCAAGGCCATCAGGGAAGAGAAAGCCAGAGCCAGAGAGGGGGACGGAGCCAGAGAAAGAGACACAGAGAGAGATGGGAAGGGAGAGCCAGGGCCAGAGAGG